TCCAATTGGTTCAAATTTTTCCTTACAACATGACTAATATGAAAATACATTTAATAGGAATGTATATGTAGAACCTATATCAGAGTGTGTGCTCTCTTGGGGAGGGAGAGAGAGGGACAAAAATTTAAAACTCAAAAGCGTATAGAACTGATTGTTGAAAACTAAAAATAAATTAATAAAAATTAAAAAAAATGAACTCCTTTATTTCACTTTTTTTCTACAGAACCTGGGCCCAATCTTCCTATTCAGCCACATTAGACATTGCTCCCTCTCCAATATGCTACAGCCAGTCAAACTGGCCTTCTCTCTGTGCCCCACTCAAAACAAGCCATTTTCTCTCCTAATGGCTTCACACTGGCCATCCCAGATGCCTGAGAGTCACTCCCTTTTTTACCGCTGCCTCATGGAGTGTTAAGATGGAGCTCAGGCACCATCTTTTATATGAAGTCTTTCTAGATCTTCCTTCTACGCCCAACTTCTAGCAGTCTTCTTCCCAAACCATCCTGTATTTAATGATTTTTTTTCTATGTATGTACCTATCTATACACACATATACACATATATCTTTGTATTAACTTTATGTTGTATATCTTTATATATGTGTGTGCATGCTACATATTTCTACTTGTTATATATCTTTTATGCTGTACTTTTACAGTTATGCTGTATATCTGCATGTATGTATATGCTACATATTGTATTCTACAATCTAGTGACCCTGTTATTCTTGCTGTTCCTTATACATAACACTCCATTTCTGCTGGCTGTCCTCTACTCCTGGAATACTCTCAGCTAAAGTCCTTCCTTCTGTAAGAAGTCTTTCCTTGTCCTCCTTAGTCTTAGTGACTTCCCTCTGAGATGAATGTTTCCTGTTATCCTGTTTGTGTGTAGTTGTTTGTGTGCTGTCTCCTCTTATGGGAGCTCCGGGGGGTGAGGGTGGTTGGTTTTTTTTTTTTAAATCTCTGTATTTCCAGTACTCAGCATAGTAATCTGGCGCATAGTAGGTACTTAATAAATGCTAGTTGACTGACTGTGTGTATTTTATATATACTTGTTTTCTTCCCCATTAGAATATGAACTGATATGAACAGGGATTGATTCATTCTTTATACTTGTGTCCTCAGTGCCTAACACGGTGCCTGGCACATATAGGTGCTTATAAAATACTTGTTGATTGATTAGTTGGTTGACTGGCACAAGCATTTAATAAATGCTTGATAAATGTCTAACTTGCCCAAGATCACATAGATCCCAAAGTTGAATTTTGGAGTCAGACCAAGGTATGGTATTTGGACTCTGAATCCCATGCTTGTTTCTTTATACTATGCTATCTTTAAACTTCATTTTACTCTACCTTTACATAATGATTGTGTGATTTCTTATGTCCTTAGAAAGTCAGATTTTTAGAAAATAATCAATAATGTTTGTTTATAATAATACCTAATATGTAGCACTTTAAAGTTGCAGAGTGCTTTTTATATGTGATCTCATCTGATCCTCACAACAATCCTGTAAGTTAGGGGCTATTTATTATTTCCATTTTTCAGATGAGGAAACTGAGGCTGAAAGAGTTCAAGTGACTTGCCCAGAGTCATACAACTAGAAAGTATCTAAAGCAGGATTTGAACTCAGGTCTTCCAGATTCCAAACCTGTCCACTCTATCCATTGTGCCACCAAGCAGCCTAATATATACATCATAACATTCTTTTAAAATTGCATAGCCTGTTAAGGTACTAAGACATAATAGCAAAGGAAGATACTTCAGTACTTCAGTGAATCTATGAACCTATTTGTCTATTATATGATTATAAAAGTGTGGAATATTGTAGAACATTGTTTGCAAAACCATATCTATTCTCATCTCCTATTTTCATCAAAGATTGTTCAGTATCTGTGGAGATTATTGGGAAGGTTTGTAGGTATGAAAAAATAAGTGTTTTGGTTGTTATTTATTAATGTCTTTTTTAATGCAACTTTTTAATAGTAATAACGTCTGTGATTTTTTTTTCAGTAACTTGGTATTCTATTTTATTTCATGTGTCTTGAGAATTGAGCCTTCACTGCTCTCAAAATTGTGTTTTATTCTCAATGTAGAATTAGTCCAGTCTAGCTACTTGGATTTGTTTTATTTAGTGCCATTTCTACTTCTTCACACATCACTAAAGGTAATATGATGTTACAATCCAAATTCTGTGGTTCTACTGTTATTAACAAAGGAAATAGTTTGTTATAAAAATCTTGACAGATGTTTTCCATTTTTCCCCTGTTTGTTGACTTTCCAGGTTCATCTTTAAATGCTCCTGAGATCATCTGGTTTAATTGATTCTGTATCAAACTCTGCAAATTTATTTTTGCCTCTAGCATTTCTTGTTGTCTTTTAAGACAATACTTCTTATAATATTCTACTATTCTCCATAAGACTCTACTGTAGAGTTTATATTCTAAATTACTGTTGCTCCTAGTTGCAATTTGTGTTATCGTAACAAAGATATAAAGCATTTGCTCAGTGAGACAGTTCCTAGAGTTGTAAATTGGTTCAACTATTTTCAAACAGTCTGGAATTAAGGGGAAAAAGCTCTTAAACTGTTCATTCCATTGGGCTTGAACCCCAAGGAGGTTGAAAAAATGGAAAGGTCCAATATGTTCCATGATATTTATATTAACACTTTTTATATTAGTAAAGCAGAAATAAGTAAATTAGTAAAGTGGAAATAAGGTGAGTGCCCATTAATTGCATAATTAAAAATGACAAGAAAGGTAATGTGGCATATTAGAGAGATGGCTTTGAGTTAAGATGACTTAAATTCATGTCCTGCTTTTGACACAAACAAAATTACATTCCAAAAATGACATTAGAGGTAATTGAATCATGATTATGTCCTTATTCCTGTCCATTCTGGAGGGTTAGTCAACAATGTTTTTTGAGCTCACACCACATTATATAGAAATTTTATGCTTTTTGTTTTATATATGGAACTGAGTATATTACTCCTTTTATAATTTGTCTTTCCTATCCTCCCTCATTTGTTTTCAGGGGTAAAGAGATTTTATTCCAAAGTTTGAATTATTTTAAAATTGACTTGCTCCTGTATTATCAGAAGGAAAATTAAATTATTTTATTTTATATATTATTTTATTTATATATTAAAATCAGATCATTGGACTGTGAATTAGAAAACAGAGATTGTTCTCAGCTTTGGCAGTTGTTTAACTTTTCTGAAACTCAATTTCCTCATCTATAAATTGAGAATATTTATTCTACCTGCTTCACAGATTGTTAGCAAAATTCTTTGTAAACCAGGATATGTCATTATAAATATAAGCTATTATAATTATGCTGATTTAGTATTCATATGCTTTTAAAAAATTAATTTAAATGATATTTTTGTTTTTTGACATTGCCTCTCTTCCAAAATTATCCCTCATAACAAATATTTTTTAAAAAAGGAAAAAAGAAAAAGGAATGAGACGAAAAAAGTCAATAAAACTGATCAGTACATAAAAACATCTGAGATTATATTCAGTGATCTACACCTGTGGACTCCTCATGCCTGCAAAGGAGTGAAGGGAGGTGTCTTCTCCTATCTCTTTTTTGGGAGTCAAACTTGTTCTTTGTCATTTTGCAAAATTCATTTCACTTATTTTGTGGTTATTCTTTTTTCTGTGGACAGTATTGCATTATAGTTGATTGTTTTCTTGGCTCTATTACTTTATTTTGCATAAGTTCGTGTAAGTCTTTCCATGCTTCTCTGAAAGAACTGGAAAAAAAAATAAGAGCCGTAGAGGGGAGACTTAGGAGAATTAACAGTATGGCACAAAAGGTACAAAACCACAACCCCTTTAACACTGGCTATTCCCATCTTTTTTTTCTTTTATAAAAAATTTATTTGTTTTTAGTTTTTGACATTCACTTCCATAAGATTCTGAGTTCCAAATTTTCTCATCTCTCCCCTCTTCCCACCCCAAGACAACATGCAATTTGATATAGGCTCTACATATATGTTCATATTGAAATTATTTTCACATTAGTAATGTTATAAAGAAAAATTAGAAGCAATGGGAGAAACTGCAAGAAAGAAGAAAGAGAGTAAATAATATGCTTTGATCTGCATTCAGACTCCATACTTTTTTTTTCTGGATGTGAACAGCATTTTACATCATGACTCCTTTGGAGTTGTTTTGGATCCTTGCATTGCTGAGAAGAGATGAGTCTATCAAAGTTAGTCATCACACAGTGTGGCTGTTACTGTGTACAATGTTCTTCTGGTTCTGCTCATTTCACTCAGCATCAGTTCATTCAGGTCTTTCCAGGTTTTTCTGAAGTCTGCCTGCTCATCATTTCTTATAGCACAATAGTATTCCATTACATTCATATACCACAATTTGTTCAGCCATTCCCCAACTGATGGGCATCTCTTCAATTTTCAATTCTTTGCCACCACAAAAAGAGCTGCTATAAATATTTTTTGTGTATGTGGGTCCTTTTCCCATTTGTATGATCTCTTTGGGATACAGACCTAGAAGTGCTATTGCTGGGTCAAAGAGTATGCACATTTTTATAGCCCTTTGGGCATAGTTCCAAATTGTTCTCCAGAATGGTTGGATTATTTCACAGCTCCACCAACAATGCATTAGTGTTTCAATTTTCCCATATCTTCTTCAGCATCTGTCATTTTCCTGTTTTGTCATGTTAGCCAATCTGATAGGTGTGATGTGGTACCTCAGAGTTGTTTTGATTTTCATTTCTCTAATCAACAGTGATTTAGAGCATTTTTTCATATGACTATAGATAGCTTTAATTTCTTGATCTGAGAACTGCCTGTTCATATCCTTTGACCATTTATCAATTGTGTATTCCCATCTTTTCTTAGCTTTGCCAATTGCTGGTAGAATTTGAAACCTCAGAATTGTTTTGACTTGCATTTCTCTTATTATTAGTGATCATTTGTGTGCTTTTAGGTTTTAATTAGTAGCTAACTTTTTCATTTTTTAAAACTAGGAAGCAGAAATTCAGTATGAAGAGCAGATTAGGAAGATAATTGTAGAAAAGCAAGAACTTCAGTGGCAAAAGGTGGGTATTTTTCTATCCAGTTTGGATTTTTAGACTTAAATTTCAGATGAAATCTGATGCTTATTAAGAATTTGGGATTTTACATTTGAAAATATATTAAGAATTATCATGTCATGAAAATAAAAAACTTAGAGCAAGCCTTCCCTAAGTTCTCAGATTTTAACTGACAAAAGCCTAAAAGTACTATGAAAATTAGCCTAAGCTTTCAGTTTCAGGGTCTGGAAATGATTAGGTTTTGTTCTAAAGAAATAAGGTTACAGTTTGGTACACTGAAAACACCTATGGCTCTGGGTTCAATTCCTGTCGTGGACATTTACTCCTTTGTGTGACCTTGGTTAATTCACTTAACCTCTTTGAGCCTCAGTTTCCTCAACTATAAAATGAGAGATTTGGATTCGTAGTTCCCTTCTAGCTCTAAATCTGTGCTGATGTTTCTGTAAACTGTAGTGTGCCTTTAGTACCAGAATCATGCTTTCCTTGAGGCCATTTGTGGTGCAGTGGGAGTAGGTCTTGTTCAAGTCTTGACTCAGACGCTAATTAGCTTATTAACCATAGGTAAATCACTTTAGCCCCTGAATATCACTTATCTTATTTCCAAAATAAGCAATACCTGATTTGCTTTACCTCACAACCGACCAAATAAAATAATGTGAAATCAATATTTATTATGCTGTAAAACACTATAAATTTAAAATAATGATGTTGTATAGATTAAATTACAATGATTCATTCCCTCTCTCTAGACCCAAGGACCATGTGTCTGCTGATTGAGAGCTTCATCATTAGATGGCACTCTGACTCGTTTTTGATAGTCAAGATGTGTGTTTTTTTTTAATCTAGAGAAATTATTTTTATATTTTCTAGTTAAATATTCATGTTTTTTCACTTCAACATATTTTCTTCTTTAATGCTCTATGGAAACTTCTACTTTGCAGGTATCCAGACAGTATTTTTTCAGGTGCTCCCCTCCTTACCCCAACTAAGCATATGGTCTGATTTTATCATTTTGATACTGATACTCTTCCTTTATAAAATGAATTATTCTTGCCCATTATAGGTCCTAAAGCTAGACTTCATTTTCTATCTCTCATCAACACTCTGGTTTATATTTAATGCTCTCCACACAGGAATCAGAGCTCCTTCTTCTTCCTCCCTCCTCATCTCTCATCACTCAGACATCTTCCTGTACCCTTTACCCTTGTCACTCATGAAGAAGTGGACATTCTCCTTGCCAAGGAAAGCATATTTACTTGTATCTTTAGTCCCATCCTTTCTGTCTCCAGCAGATTGCCCCCTCTATCATCTTTACTCTCTTGATAATCTTTAATTTCTGCCTGTCTACTTATTTCTTCCCTGTTGGCTAACAACATGTCAGGTCTCTCCCATCTTTAAAAAACTTCTATGTGCCATTGCTGCTAGCCATTGTTCTGTCTCTCTTCTTCTTTCCCCTAAACTCCATGAAAAACTTGTCTATATTGGTGTCTCCACTTAGGCTCCTCTTACTTCATTTGAAACCCTCCGCAATCTGACTTCTGATTTCATCATTCAACCAAACTGCTCTGTCCAAAATCTCTTAATTGCTAAACTAATGATCTCAGGGGTGGGGAACCTGGAGCCTTGAGGCCACATGTGGCCTTCTAGGTCCTTGGGTGTGGCCTTTTGACTGAGTTCAAGTTTTACAGAACAAATCCTTTTATTAAGAGGATTTGTTTTGTGAAGTTCGGATTCAGTCAAAGGGCTGCACTGGAGTTCTTAGAGGGCCATATGTGGCCTTGAGGCTGCAGGTTTCCCTACCCCTGGAGATTTTCATGATACTTTTCTCTTGTTTCTTCTCCTACCTGTCTGACTACACCTTTCCATTCTCCTTTCCTGATTGTTCATCCAGATCACACTGCGTAGCCTAAAGCTCTGTCCTGGGCCCTATTTTCTTCTCCCTTTCTTTATTTCCCTTGGTGATCTCCTCAGCTCCCATGAGTTCAGTTATCATTTCTGTGCAGATGATCCCCAATTCTAAATACCTAGCCTCTCTCCTGAGCTCCATTCTTGCTTCACCAAATTCTCTTTGGCATCTTAAACTGGGCAGATCCTAAACTCATTATCATTACTCCAGAGCCCTCTACTTGAAGAGGTCTAGAGGTTTTGGGGTGCTGGGAACCCCAAGATCACATTACCGGGCCCTGCCTGAAAGAATTCAACTCAAATCTTCTTCCAGCCACAGGAAAAGTTTATTAGTAATAAAACACAGGCCAGGTGATGCCTGTAAGGATGGGCAGGCATGAGAAAGTCTCAGCCTTTTGGGCTTGAGATTCTCCGGCCCTAATAAGGGTCAGGGGAGATCTTATATACTAAAATGACTCTGGGTAATCAGGGGAGGGTCTGGGAAAAGGGTGTGGATGAGAATTCTGATTGGAAGATCTGAGAGATTGAGTAGACAATGGGAATAGATAATGAAATCAAAAAGGTGGGGCTAAGGCTTTCAATAAGGAGATAAGGAACCTAAACTGGGAGCCACATTCCCTTTGGGGCAAGGGGCAAAGACCTCAACTTGGGCCACACCCCATCATACTCTTCCCACCTTTGCTAGTACTATGAGGGCAGCACCATACTCCTGGTCACCCAGGCTCACAGCCTGAGTATCAGCTAGACTTCTTTCTTAGACTCATTCCATATAGCCAGTCTCTTACTAAGTCTTGTCTCTGTCATCACAACATCTCTTATACATGTCCTCTTCTCTTCTTGTTCACACAGCTACCACTCAAATCAGGCTCTCCTGTCCTCATGCCTTCAGGTAGGTCTCCATGCTTTAAATCTCTCTCCACTCAAGTAATCTTCCTAATATGCAAGTATGACTGTATCACCACCCAACTCAGTACATTCCAGTGGCCCCCTCTTACCTCCAAGATCAAATATAAAATTCTCTGTTTGACTTTTAAATCCCTTCACAGCATGGCCCCTGCCTACCATTAGAGTCTTCTACATATTCCATGATTCAGCTCCACCGGCTTACTTCTTTCCTCTCCCATCTCCATACCTTTGCACTGGCTATTCTCCACAGCTAGTTCTCCCTCCTTTCCTCTGTTTCCAACGTCCCTGCCTTCTAAACTCAGCTCCATTCCCACCTTCTGCAGGAGGCATTCCAGCCTCCTCACCTCTTCCCAATTGCTAGTGCCTTCCCTCTGAGATTACCCTCTATATCTTGTACATAGATTGTTATTTTCATATTGTCTCCTCCATCAGAATGTAAGCTACTTGAAGGCAGACAGTGTTTTTGCCTTTCTTTGTATCTTTGGTACTTAACACAGTGCCTGGCACATAGTAAACACTTAATAAATGCTTGTTGACTGATTGACTGGACAGGTAGGGACATGAGTTCCACATAGTAGGTCAGACACAGCAGAGTGCAGGGAACAGAGCATTGATTTGGAGTGAGAGGACTTTTGTTCAAATCTTTGTCCTGCAATGTATTACCTTGTTCGAATTACTGAACTTCTCTAGGCCTCCATTCCCTTATCTGTAAAATGAAAAGGGTTGGGTTTCGTGTTCTTAAAGATCTGAATCACTTCATTGATATCATGAAAGGTCATCTAGGACTTTGCTCTGGAAAGAACTTTATAGATCATCCAGTCCATCCCATACCCCCATTTTATTTTTCCCTCTTTCTTTTTAAAAATTAAATCTTTTTTTAAATGAACAAGCAATTTTATCTATCTACTTCCTTCTCGCATCCACCAAAAACTACAAGAAAAACAAGACCCTTATGACAAATATTCATAATCAAGCAAAACAAATTCCCATGTCCAAAAATATGTCTCATTGCACATTTAGTCCATTATGTCTTTTCTGTTGTACTGTAAGAAGTGAACCTGGGAAGAATTGTATGAACATCACGATGCAGAGTAAAGTAAACAGAAGCAGGAAAACAATTTATAATATAATAATAACATTCTAAAAACAAACAACTAAGAGTTAAGAACTCTGATCAAATCAATGACTAACCATGATTCCAAAGAACCAGTAATAAAGAGTGCCAACCATTTCCTCATTTTAGATAGTGGAAACTGAGGCCTGGAGAGGCCCAAAGTGACTTTCTCAAGTTTGTGCTGTTAGTAAGTAGCAGAGCCAGGTTTCAAACCAAAGCTTTTGAATTACACCATAGTAAAGTAATTGCTTTGTCTAAAAGAACTGCCTATATTTTTGGTACATTCAGCTGAAATAATTTTTGAAAGAACCTGACATTTTGCTTAAAAAATTAAGAAACCAAAGGTCAGATAGACATTTATTATATTTGTATGTTTATTTAAGTGATATTCAAATTACATTTATTGGCTAGTCCAACAAATTCATTGAAACATATTACAATATGAATTGCTAAGTTCATTTTTTAAATCTTGTCTTCTGGGAGTCCGCAAATGTAGTATACTTAATTAATAAGATTATTCTCTTCAGTGACCATTAATTAACAGCTCTTTTCCTGAAGGAAGCTCTGGAGGGAGCTATGTCCAATTTTCTAAGCCAGAATAATGGCACATATTATGAAGGAGAAGAAAGTGATATCAAAAATAATTTATGTTGATTTCAGAAGAATCAATAAATCTAAAACCTGATACAGTCACCAAGCATTTTAAAGAGCTTACTGTGTAGTAGACACTGCTAATCATAAAGTTAATTTTTGCAAGAGAAGGAGAGGATACAGGTGAAATATTTAACTTTTCTTTAAATTTCAAACATATGAAACTTAAGAAATAAAATAATATCTAATTCTTTTTGAGATTTTCTTTTAATATGTTTTCATTTAAAAACAGGAAAATCTTCAACATCAGAAAGAAACATTAACAAAGCAGCATAAAGAAGCTATGACACTTTTTAAAAAGCAGGTAATTCAGTAAAGATAGAAAAAAAGCTCTACTTTTAACATTTAATCTTTACTTCTTTAAGGAGGTCTTATTCACCACTAGTCTGCATCTTTCCTAAAGAGAGAAGAAAAGGAAATGGGTATAAATCTCAATGGTGAAGTTTTTGGTAACTATAATAGATTGAATTATATTGAGGTATTGTGCAATCATCTTTTCAAAATACCTAGAAGTACTCCTCTGTCCTGAATGACTTAAGTAATTTGTTTGAAAACTTTTTGCCTTTTACCCTATGGGTTCTGGCACATTGCCCCTGCTCATATACATAAAATGGAAAACTGTAGCAAAATTTCTAGAGTATTGAGAAGTTAGGGGCAGTTAATGAGGTGATAGTGATGTTAAAGTTCAGGGGATGTGATTACTACAAAGTAGGTTCTCAATTGAGCAGTTCGTAATAAGAAAGAACTGTCAGGAGGACAGATACCTGTTTAAGAAAACAGTTTTAAAGAACTGAATCACTATAGCCTTTAGGTATTTGGGATTTCAGAGTTCTAGCTTCTGTGACTTCTCAACATTTCCTTTCATCCCCTAATTATTTCTATAATGTTTCTACACAGGCTTAGGTGGCACAGTGGAGAAGCTAGGCTGGAGTCAGGAAGACTCATCTTCCTGAATTTGAATCCAGCCTCAGACACGGAACTGTGTGACCCGGGTTCACTCACTTAACCTCATTTGCCTCAGTTTCCTCATCTGTAAAATGAACTGGAGGAGGAAATGGCAAACCACTCTACTATTTTTGCCCATGAAAAGTTGGATATGACTGAAAAATGCCTGAACATACAGTCTTAAGTCAGTGTGCCCTGGAGAAAAGAGGATGCCTCTTGCAGGCTTTCTCCCAAATTTATGTATTCTCTTCTTCTTCCTTTTATCCCTGTCTCCACCTACAACAAAGACACTCCATACACACACATCTGTATATCCATATCCTTTCCCCACACATATACATACATATTATATATATGCATATATAACATATGTGTAAAAGGGATATGGAGATATATTACTATGTGTAAAAACACACACACACATACACACACACATATATACACACACACAGAGATGTATATACATCACATGCACACACATACCTGTAAATGCTATATGTACATCTATCTATATATCTTAAATATCTAATTGGAAAGAATTTTGGGAGTAGGCTAGGCATACTTGGAAGGACTTCTTATTTAAAAAGTCTCCCCCCCCCAATAATCTACCAACTAAAGATTCATTTAGATTTTTACCAAGTTTCTCTTTTAAACTACTACTGCTTTCATGACCGAAGCCTTGAATATATTAATCACACCCTTTGTGTGAATTCCTTTATCCCCATATCTTTCTTCGTTATTCCCAGCTGAGGTCAACCTAACCAAGTGAATCTGAGTTTATTTTTGGAGGATAGGCCAATTTGGGAGGATGGTGGGCTTAGCGAGAACCTAGTTGAAATGCTATGGAAAGAGGCTTTGGGCTGCCAGAAAGCAACTTATGGACTCTGGGGACTGGAGAGCAGAAAAGAGTCCTGCTAGGAAAGTTACAGAACCAGAGGATTTCAGATCTGGAAGCCCAGATGGGTTAAGGAGCCAGATCACACTGCTAGTTAGTGTCAGGTTTGGAACTTGAAGGTGGGGCTTTGTCTCCCAGGGCCCTGATAGGAAAAGGGTACATTTTTAAAAAATGTTTTTTCAAGCCTTTCCCTCTTCATCTCTATTTCATCTCTTTAGGATTTAATTTTCACCTTTATAAAATAAGATCGTTAGGCTAGAGGGTAATTAAGGGAACTTTCAGCTAGAAAATTCTATGATTTTATGAATATAATATACATTATGATAGAAATGTACATTTATTTTATTGATTAGAACATATTATCTAATTGGTATGTTATTTTGTATTTTTAAATTTTTTATTGTTTATCAAGTTGCAAACAAGGATGTGTGCTATGGAAGAAGAAAAGGTATTTATATTCATTCTTATTAATAATTCACAATATAATTGAGAATTAATTATCAAATGATGGTAGAGAAATCTAAAAATATTCTGTATTTACTATTGAATGTACTCTGTAATTACTTCCTCCACAAGATTTACCTTTTTAAATATGGTAGACTTACACAAACTAATTTTAATATTAGCCTAATTAAGAATATACCAACTAGAAGCGGGAGGACGTGGCCCAGAAGTGTGCTAGGTAGGTGGAGACTGTTCACCTGGGATTAATTATTTTCTGTGGCTAATATATGCAAAATGAGTAATTCACAAGCTATTAGTTTTTGATTGTAGTAGAGAACATCCATTTTAGACTTACTAGAATTTAGAGACCTTGTGATTTTTAGCATGAAGACCTTCTTTTTAAAAAGATGCTGTCTTCTTGTAACTGTAGGTTATTTGTTATATTGCTTATTATAAATGGGTATTATGGGTCCCCTCCACAAAGTCCTACTCCTGTACTGTATTATTGTGTCAGGTTCACCCTGTGTTCTCGAAGGCATTGCCAGGTGATGATGAGCTCTGGGAAGACTTTGAGTACAGTAACAGATTGAGCAGGAGCAGGAACATTGAGTACAGTCTGCTTCCTGAGAACCAGCCTGAGTATGCAGAGGCCTATTACCAATAGGCTGGCTTACTTGGTAATGGATTCTTTAGCCATAGCAAACCATAAAACAAAGAAAAATTGTAAAATGGACTTCGATGCTGTGTGGCACTCTCTGCTTCAGCAATAGTGGTGGCAGAAAAGGGGGCAGAGGGAACAAAGAATCACAGTTTTCATGTCATCTATGAACTTTAATTTAGTTGTTGGTGCTCCAGATTTGGGGATCTTGTGTGACAATAGGTTTAGGTGGCAAATATGAGAGGTGCTTGTAGCAGTTTATTGTTCTGGCTGGCCTTAGCTGCTTCTGCTACTGCTTTTTGCCATTCAGGAGAGCAAGCAGCAGGCTGTCATGAAATTGTAGTGTATGGCTTGGCCACCAGATGGTGCTTTGGCCGCCTCTGTATTCTCTCTTCCTCTCTCCAGACCTCATTGACTATAGGGAAGCCCCGCTGACACTAAGCTGGTTTTTAGGTTCAGTAAAGTTCTATTGATATGGGCTGGACTATGCCCCAAAGTAACTAAAAAATAGAAAATCTCTTTCCTCTCTACTTGTTGAGCCTTCTACTTGGACACTGGATATGTCACTCCTTCCCTCCTCCTTCCTCTTTCTCTCAATCACAGCTCCCCAAGTCAGAGATTTGACAGTTTGCTCTTAATGGCCACAGGATTTATTAAAACCATCAGGTGGCATAGAAAGCCAAGCAAGCAGTAAAACCCAGAAGGCTGTCAGGTGGCAAGTTGTAGGATCTCGAGAGCTTGAGTTGTTTCTCTTTCCTCTACCTTTTCTGCCAGATTTGGGTTGGGGGGCTTAAAGGGAAAAGATTAGATAAGTTTTGGAACTCAAAGTAAATTTCTTCAGTATGTGTTTAGTAAGTAGAGGAACAAGAAAAGAGTGGCATATAATTTTGCTTGATTTGATTGATGGCTGTGTTCCTGGCAGCTGCTAGTCTCCTTCACTCCGGGTTGCACCTCATAACCCTGGGTCTCCTCTTGGTTACTGTCATTCACCAGAGTCCTGGACCCAGCTACTTGGATTCCATTTGGGAGCCTAAGCTAATTTCCATTCTCATTCCACTCTTCTGTTATTGTACCTGTCAAGGCAGTGACACAGGTTGTTTTAGCTACTGATAAGGACAACTCAATATGGAATTTACATGTTGGCTTCTCTCTCTTTTTTACCCATATGGCCAAGAAAACCCTAACTGGACATCTCTTCAAGGGCAAAGGAGTATGGATACCTGATGACTCTGAAAAAATGTATGCTTAGTTGAGCCTCTAGAATTCTTGACTTCTGCCACTTCTAGGAAGTCTTAGAAGGCCAAGTTTCACTTGTCCAGCAACCAACAATGAAAAAAATCATATTGAAATTTTGATTAGAAACGAAACCAGAAGACCAAAGAAAGTTGAAGTTTAGTGGAAGGATAGATCAGAGTCTCCTTGGAGAGGCAGATAAAAGAGTTGGCTTTATTATATTTTTAAAGGCTGAACAAGAAAGAATTTCATTGAACATTTTTTCTATTAACAGTGTTCATGATGAGTATTTACAAAATAATTTTCAAGCTGGATGCTGCATATACATCTCAGATTCAATATGTCTGAAATGCAACTCATTGTCTATTTTTCCAAATCCACCTCTCTTCTGAACTTTCCTGTTTCTTTCAAAGGCACCATTATCCTTCTGGTTACTGACTTTACAACCTTAGGATCATCCTTGACTCCTTACTCTTACTCAGTCCACATGTCTAATCAATTGCCACATTGTGTATTTCTGTACCTACAACATCTCTTCCATCTCACATCTTCTCTCTCTCTCTCTTTTTTTTTTGTTGGGCAGTGGGGGTTAAGTAACTTGCCCAGGGTCACACACCTAGTAAGTGTTTCGTGTCTGAGGCTGGATTTGAACTCAGGTTCTACTGAGGTGCAGTTCTATCCACTGCACCGCCTAGCTGTCCCTCACCTCTTCTCTTCACTCACATAACCAGCGCTTTAGTTAAGGCCCTTATCACTTCTCACCTGAACTGTTGTAATTGCCTCCTAATTAGTCACCCTGCCTCAAGTCTCTTTCTTCTCCAAATTATCCTTCCTACCTTTGTGAAACTGATTTTCCTAAAATGTTTATCTGACTACCTCACTCCCCTTTTTGGTAAGTTAGGTGTCTCTCCATTATCTCCAGGATCAAGTATAAACACCTCTGTTTGGCTTTTAAAACCCTTCACAACCAGACTCCAATCTATCTTACTGCCCTTATTGCATATTGCACTCCTTGATACACACTGCAGTCCAGTCAAATTGGCCTTATTATTGTCTCTCATATGCAGTAGTCCCTCTCCCACCTCTGTGCCTTTGCATTGGCTGTTCCCATTTCTTACAGTACCTAGTTTCCTTTAAGGTATGGATCAATCACTGTCTTCTACTAGTCTTTCTTAATTCCCCAGTTGTTAGTGCCTTCCCCCTAAAACGACTCTATATCTGTTTTTAAATACAAAATACGTACATACACATCAGAGCAACGAGTTGATGGAGTGCCAGGCCTGAAGTAGGGAAAACTCATCTTCCTTAGTTCAAATCGAGCCTCAGACACTTATGAACTGTGTGACCCTGGGCAAGTCACTTAACTCTTGTTTGCCTTAGTTTTCTCATCCATAAAACGAGCTAAGGAAGGAAATGGTAAACCACTCCAGTATCTGCAAAGAAAACCCCAAATAGGATCACGAAGCATAAGGTGTGACTGAAACATCTGAACAACAACATGCGTATATATGTAGATGTTGTCTCCCCTGACTAGATTGTATACTTCTTAAAGGCAGGGAGTGTTTCCTGTTTGTTTTTGCATCCCCAGTGCCTAGCATAGTGTTTAGTACAAAGTAGACATTTAATAAATGCTTGTTGATTGATTTATCAAAAATGAATTGTAGCTTATGCACCAACATCTATTGCAAAGGATAAGAATGTAAAGAAATTCTATTCAGAGCTTGATAAAATCCTCCAAATTAAAGTAACATACTTTGATACTTAATAACATTAATGAAATAGTGGTAATAGGCAAGGTCAATAAAAAATGTTAGGAAATATGGATCCGGGAATAAGAAATGAGAAAGGCCACAGATTTGTAGACTACATAAAAACATAATGCCTATATATTAAAAGTACTTACTTTGAAAAAGGATTGATAGGCATTGGACATGGTGAACACCAAATAACATCACAGAATAAATGCAAATACATACAATGTAGTTAAATACAACAAAGTTTGGGAGTGGGGCCAAAGCAGTGGCGGAGGGATCAGGAAAGACTTCATGTAGAAGATGGTGTCTGAGCTGTGTCTTAGAGGGAGAGACACTCTATGAGGCAGAGGTAAAAAGAGAGTAAATTCCAGGCATCTGGGATGGCCAGTGCAAAACCATTAGGCAAGGAGATAGAGTGTCTTGAGTGAAGCATAGAGAGAGGGCTAGTGTGGTTTGCAGCATGTGGGAGAGGGAATACTGTTCAGTGTAGCTGAAAAGGAAGGTTGGGCCTATGTTGTATAGAGATTTGAAAGCTAAACAAAGGAGTTTATATTTTATTCTAGAGGCAATAGGAAGCTGTTGTAGTTGGTTGGGTACAGGAGCCTCATGGGCAGATCTGCACTTAAGGATAATGACTGTGGGAGTGGTGTGTGGGATAAGTTGGAGTACAGGAAGACTTGAGGCAGAGGCTGTTGCAGTGATCTAGGTGAGAGATAATGAAGGTTTGACCTAAAGTAGTAGTTATGTGAGTAGAGAGAAAGGGTCAGATATGAGAGATGTTGTGAAGGTAGAAACAGCAAGATTTGGCAACTGATTGGGCATATGGGGTGAGGAAAAATGAAGCGTTCAGGATAATTTTGAGACACTGGAAAGATGACAAAATCATTTTGACAAAAGTGGGGAAATTTGGATGAAGGGAGGGCTTAGGGGGAAGATCATGAGTTCAAGATGTCTCAGGGACATCAAGTTTAAATGTCCTATAGAAGCCATAGAGACAAGGGTTGTATATATGGATATGGGAGTCATCTACAGAGAGAGAGAGAGAGAGAGACGAGTAAAGAAAGATGACCTAGGAAAGAACTTTGTGGAATATCCACAGAAGGTTTGCGAGATGAGCCAGCTACGGAGACTGAGGAGTGGTTAGACAGGTAGACAAAGAATAGCATCATGAAAACTCAGAGGGATGAATAATGAGGAGGTGAGGGTGGTCACATAGGCTGAGAAGCTTTAGTTCTGAGAAAAGACCATTAGATTTGGCAGTTAAGAAATCATTAGTAACTTTGGAGAGAACACTTTCCATTGAGTTATTATATCAAAAGTCAGATTGTAAAGTGTTGAGAAATGAGTGAGAAGAGAAGTACAAGAAGTTAGTACAGACAACCTTTTCTATGGCAATGAAAGGGAAAAGTGACACAGGATGATAGTTTGAGGAGACTGCAGAAGCTAGAGAAGGCTATTTTTGTGGGGAGGGGTGACTTGAGCATGTTTGAAGACAGTAGGGAAGGAACCAGTTGATAGGGAGAGAGAAGAGGGAAATGGTTGAGGATGCAATCTGCTCGAGAAGACGCGAAGTGATGGCTTAGCCTTTATAAGGGCCACCCCCCTTCTCAGAGAGCATAGAGGAACTACCATAAAACGATGTCCCCATTTGCAAAGTTCTTGGCTGTTGTCACAGTGCTTACTCATATAGAGTTTGCAGTCTGCTAAAAGCCCTAGATTTTTTTCAGAGAAACTGCTATTTAATTGTGTTTCTTCCATCTTATGTTTGCAAAGTTGATTTTTTTGAGTGCAAGTGTAAGATTCTAATTTATCTGTATTGAATTTTATATTATTGGATTCAACCTAATATTCTGTGAAGATCTTGTTCAATCCCAACTATCATGTAAGGTGTTAGCTATTGGCCTCATCTGCCGTTTGTGTCTTTATCCAAGTAATTGATAAAAGTGTTTAAGACTAAAGGGCCAAGGACAGATCATTGGGGTGCTCCATTGGAGACCTCTTGTCAAGTTGACATTAAACCATTAATGAATACTCTTTGAGTCTCACCATATAACCAGTTCTGAATCCATCTATTGTATCATCCGCTGGTCTGCATTTTTCTCTCTTCTCCACAAGAATGTGTCTTCTATGCAAGAGACATTTTGTCAAATGCTTTGCTAAAATCTAATCTATGAATATTGTGTTCAAAGTTTGACTTCCCAGTGTGCTGTTCTTACTAAGAGCTGCTGCTATCCCAGGGTACAGTTCTTAGAGTAGAAGGTATTTTTAAAAATGCATTCATTGGAATTAATGAATGACCTTTTTTTTTTCTTTTTGGTGAGGCAGTCGGGGCGAAGTGACTTTCCCAGGGTCACACAACTAGTAAGTGTTAAGTGTCTGGGGCTCAGGTCCTCCTGACTTCAAGTCCAGAGCTCTATCCACTGCACCACCTAGTTGCCCCATGAATGACTTTTCTATCTTGTACTAACCTTCTGCCTGTTTTCAGCCCCATATACCAATCCATTTATTAATTTGCATTGTGTTAGAATTTTCTTATTTATCTTGTCCTGTCTTTCCAATTATCTTCTCTTCCCTCACCCAGTCTTTCTCTTTAGGTCTTTACTCTTCAATCCTGCTTGATCTTGTCCTTTCTTCATCTACTTAAACTTCCTCTCCTAGAAGATAGAAGTAAGACCTACATTGGTACATGGGCATGGAGATGTTTTACCTTCAAATTTTCATCAATTTTTCCCAAAATTCTTCTTTCCAATTCAATCTCTGGCCTTAAGTAGTCCAAATTTCCTCTTATTCAGCTCAGTTCCTGTCTTTCCTCTTGCTCTTTCACCCATACCTTTCTCACATAAAAGCCAGAAAGATTATGACTCTCTGCCATGGAACACGACAGGCTAAGAAGAATTAAAAATAACTTTCAACCAGAAGACTACAGAGAGGTGCATCATGAGTTTGTCACATGGCAGGAATGAAAAATAACCAATGCATACTCCACTGGTGTCCTCAAAATATCAAGAGAAGGCAAGAAAGATGCCTTGGGTGGTCCTCAGAGCACCCTCTGAATTTATGGGAGGACACAAAGAGTTATATAGGATGGGCCAGCACAAATGTATCATAGTTTGCTTTGTTGGAGGAAAATAGCCATGTCAATGAGGTCATAGTTCCATTTGAATGTTGGTCACTCATATATCTAGAACTACTTCCTATTATACCTGTTTGTATAATTATCATACTGACTCTTAGGTAGACATATTTCACTGATGAAATGATTTGTAGCTACACAAATGCTTTCAGTTTTTATAGCAAAACAAAACAAAACCCAAAATGGTAAAATATTTTAAAATGGAAAGAAATTAGAAGAAAAAATAAATGTTTATTTTGTTAAATAGAATGTATTAAAGTAGGCCTTTGGTCTTAAAGTCTTAGATTTTTCTGTTTTTGTTATGTTTATACTTGAACATCAACTTTTGATTTAAAGGGACAATATCAACTTGCTTCAGAAATAAAAGAAAAAGAAATAGAAGGACTGAAGGAAACATTGAAAGGATTACAGGTGAAGTAACTTAATTTCAGTCTTTTTTCCTTTGATTTCCTTATTGCTCACTTTCTGATTCCTTCCCCTTCAATGGCATTCCTGCTGTGGCAGGGAAGTGGGGAATAGAGATGGGAGGAAGTGCTTGATCTTAAATCTGTGCCAGCTTCTTCTCACACTGGGCAATTCACTTTTCACTGACCTTAGTCTCTGCCCCAGGTGACTTCTTGGGGGACAGAAGTGGCCTCAGATGTATGCCATCATTCAGGCCTGTTGGACCACCACTTCCCACCTCCCACCCCCACACACTGTCCTCCTGCTTTTGTTCCAAGCTGACCACTTTCATGGCATAACGTACTGCCATGCTGCCCTCTCTGGCCGAGCAGGCTTTCTACTTTCCTTGGTGCATGGGGAGGCTGTACAGAGCTGAGTTCTTTTGTAAGCCTTCCCAAAGTATGATGGCAGGTAAGGGAGGGTTTGCTGAATGAGCCATTTAAGGATTAGTCATCTCAGCTGTTAGTTCATCAGGTTGTTATCTCATTAGGGTTCTTGGTGTCTTAGACTATGGAGACAATGAAATTGTTTTATCTCTTGCACGTAATTCCCATTTTGTAGAGATTTGAGAGGTTTTGAGAATAAAAAAAAAGTGTTTAGTCCTCCATCTTGTTGGTCACAAGACCCAGAAGTCTGAAGTGCCTTTATATTTCTTAAACATTTCCTCAGTAGCGTATACAGCAAAACTTCAAGGAGCTTACATCCTAATGGGAGAGAAAACACGTAAATCATAGAAGATAATCACAGAAAGGAAGGTAATAGCAGTTGAAGGTATGGAGTGGGACGAGGGAAGGCCTCTTGAAGACAGTGAGATTAGAGGTGAGTTTTGAAGAAAACAAGGGAAAAGAAAAGGAGGGAGGGCATTCCAGGCATAGGAGAGAGTCAGTATAAAGACATGGAGTATCAGGTGTGAGGCACACACAGGGAGTAGCCCAGTGCAGCTAGATCGTGGAATGCTTAGACAGGAGCGGAGTTTGAGAAGACTAGATTCATTTGCGTGTTTTGCTTTGTGCTCTGCCTCAATGTATCTATTGTGTTAAAAAAAAAAAGAGAGAGAGAGAGATTTATTACTATCTGCTTTTTGTTAACTCTTCCTGAAAAGACTTAGCTGTGATATATGTAGTACAAGCCCGTAATCCCTGCTACAGGAAGGCTGAGGCTGGTGGATCACTTAAGCTCAGGAGTTCTGAGCTGTAGTGGACTGATCTGATTGGGAGTCTACACTAAGGCCGTCACCAATATGGCGAATCTCTGGGAGCAAGGGGTGCCAAAGGAGGGGCGAACCGATCCAGGGCAGAAGTGGACCAGGCCAAATCTTCCACAGTTACCATGGGTCCTGTGAGTGTCTGCTGGATGAGATAGGGAAAGGAGGAGGAGGTAAAGGAAGATGAGAAAAAAGAAAGAGGAAGAGGAGGAGAAAGCTTTGTCAGTACTCTACAAATTAATTACTATTATAATCATGATTCCAAATGAAATGTTCTGTCATTTCTAAAGGATTAAAGTCTTTCACAGATATTGGTCAGAATGGCAATCTTACTTTTTCATCTTCAGCCATACCTTATTTTACCTTTGTATTGACGTGTGGAGAAATGACCATGGTAGAAGTGAGCTATAACTGGTTGCTATGTTTTATTGTATTGAGTATGTTAAAATATTTGAAAGAGGTTTGAGGGGAACATGACAAAAATTTTTAGCAGAGGCAGCTTTCAAACAAAGGTGAATGTAGGAAAATTATAAAGATCAAGCATGATTCAAATAAAGACATAGGGGATGACACCCATAATACTCCCTTTATGGAGGTGGGAGGGCCACCAGTGTTGCAGATTGCACATGTTTTCAGAATTCTTCAATGACTTACTGGTTTTGTTGATTTTTTCTCTTTATTTTGTCTTTAAAAACATACTATTATTATTTGGAATGGTTCTATGGAAGGGAGAGGAAGAAGGACACTGGGGAAAACTGTGATGATGTAGAAAACAAAAGCCATTAATACAAATGTATCTTAGAAAAAGAAAGTTCATAGGAAGCTAGACCTGAAGGATTTGAGATCATCCTCATCAGCCACTTTATAGAGGAGATTGCTGAATGCCAGGGAAATGATGTGATTTGGCTCAGGTCACCCAGCCAGCAGGAAACAGGGCAGGGACTCAAGGCCAGCTCTTGGGAGTCTTTCCAGAGTGTCACGGAGCATGAGCATTACTCTGTAGGCATAGTGGGGAGCCACGAAAGGCTTTAGAGCCAAATGGTGATAAAGGTAAAGGAGCGTTTTAGGGAGATGAATCTGATAGTGGTGCAGAAACTGAAGTGATAGGTAAAGAGTAGAATTCCAAGGGCTGTATTTAGGTAAGAGATTTAACCCTATTCAAGTGACTCAGATATCAAATAGCATTACCAATAAATTGAAATTCTGTGACCTGAGGTAGAAGCCATATGTCTTAAGTTTTGTTCAGCTAACCAGATTTGTTGAACAAAAAGAAAAATAATGATATCCTGAATTTGTATAGTTCTTTTACAGATATCTCATTTGAACTTCATAACAACTTCATGAGCTAAATAGGACAGATGTGATTTCCCCCATTTTATGCAAGAAGATTCTGAGGTTGAATGATTTGCCCAAAAAGGCAGTGGTGGAGATGGAACTTGAACTCAGGTCTTCTGAGTGCCAGCCTAGTGTTCCTTCCATCATTCCACAATTTCTTGATTCTGATACTTTGCCATTGATGACTTCTGAAACTGAAATAAAAAAGAAGAGCCCTAACATTTATACACACACACACACACACACACACACACACACACACACACACGTATTTTATATATTTAATATCTTACTTTCCCTCAATTACATGTAAAACAATTTAAACATTCTTTTTTTCAAATTTTGAGTTCCAAATTCTCCCCCTCCGACCCTGCCATTGAAAAGCCAAGCAATTTGACATAGGTTATAAATGTGTAGTTATGCAAAACACATTTCCATGCAAGTCATGCTGTGGTGAAATAAAACACAGACCAAAAAAACCCCCAAGAAAATAAAGAAGGTAAAGAAAAAGTACTTTTGATCCACATTCAGGCTTCACCAGTTCTTTCTCTGGAAATGGACAGCCCCTTTCATCCTAAGTCCTTCAGAATTGTCTTGAGCCCTAACATTTTGTGACTTAGAAAAGATGTGCTTTTTAATGGTCATGGAAATAAGGAAAGGGTGAAAAACGTAGTTTAAACTATGACTTCATGAGTCTTAGGGTGTATTTTATGTGCAATATGAATTGTGGCAATTTAATTACATTTAGTAGTTTAATTTTTCAGTTAAAAGAGTGAGTTTAGAAAATAAAGTCTGGATACCTGAGCATGGGCTCTCCTAAGTAACTGGTAAATTTTTGGTCTAGTCACTTAAGTTCTCTGAGCCTTAGTTTCTTTATATGTAACATGAAGGTATTAGACAAAATTATCTCAAAGTTCTTTTATAGTTCTCTTCTTGCTGGACCTCCAAAATGGACTTTGACTATTTTAAGCTATTTTAGCTGAATCATAGTAAGTTTTGTATACCAGAAGCAAGAATGAGAAAAACCATAATCGACTATAGTAGATGGAAATGTTATTTTCTAGTAATTTGAAGATGTTTTCATATATAGAGATATAAAGATATATCTGTAATTAGAAAAATAGTAATTATTATTATAGATATTTTCAAAGATTTACTCTAATTTTTATTAAATATTATTGTTTGGCAGTGTCCAATAAGGTTTCATGCCTTAAAAAAGTTAAATTCCTTGCTTCTTATTATATCTTTTTCTTAAGTATTGAGTTTCCTCTCTTAACTATAGCACCGGTTGATAAAGGGGGTCTATTTGTTAATATTGTTATTTACACTCTATTCTATTAACATTCCTTTTAAAATAAATTGGTTTCTTTTGCTGTCATTCTCTCTATGTTTAATTATCTGGTTAATGTAGAGAGTATTTTAAAAGCTAAAGAAATTCCTTCACATGGCTGACCTTCTGTGCAAGAGCTGTAAGGGTTTGTTTTGCCTTGTTCAACCCATGACATAGTACAGGTGATGTATAGTGTACCTCATGGTCTGCTGAACATGATCCATGGATACCATAGAGCAATAAAAGTTCAAATTTTTCCCAAGTAAGAAAAAGTTAAAGAAAGGATCTATTAAGGATCTGATTTATATTGTTAGAGCAAAAGAAATTACTAGACAAAATCCAAACCCCTTATATGCGCATCGCTTAGATTCTTCTGCATTATTTTTTTTTCTCCTCCCCTTTTCTCTCCTCTTGTCACAGGATCCTTCTAACCCCTTTTCCCTAACCTCCCCCCCCCAAAAGCCCCAAACCAACAACCCACAACCAAAACATTGAAGAAATTATTCATTGCTTAATGGAGTTCTCTCCAGGAGCATCTAAACAGTGTTCTTAAGTACTTGACAAACACTTACTAGAGTATAGGAGGTGGTGTTACATTGGGCATGGTGGAATGTTGACAACTTCCATTCAAATAACTTTATAGCAAGTCTTAATGACACTGAGAAGTTTGCTTAATACAGCTGCATTAGAGGGGTAACTAAATTGCTGATTGTACTAGGGGATTTAGGTAAACCAGTCCTGGCTCTGTCAGTGACTTATTGTCACTGATACTTGGGCAAGTCACTCATATGAGTGAGTTGGAAGACATGATAGCTAAAGGTCCCCTCTAATTTTAAAATTCCATGGTTCTAGAAGGCAGCTAGGGAGTGAAATGGATAGAGTGCTGCGCCTTAAACATTTATTAGCTGTGGGACTCATTTCCTCTCTGCCTCATTTTCCTCACTTGTAAAATGGAGATAACAGTAGTATTGCAGGGTTGTTGTAAGGATCAAATGAGATAACATAAGTAAAGTGCTTTGAAAACCTTAAAAGTGTTATATAAATGAAAGCTCTTATTTTAATATTAGCAAATTTCAAGCTAACTGAATTGATAACAGTAGGAGACCTGAAATCAATCAATAAATCAATCAACATATAAGTACCTTTAGTATTATTGAAGACAAAAATGTTATATCCTATATTTTTGGTAAAAGCCTGCCAGAGATAATTTATTAATTAAACTATTTTAATTTTAACATTTCCACTTAGAGAGGTAGAGTTTCACCATGCCTTTAATTAATAAGTCATCTCTGGAAGGCTTATGCCCCAAAACGAAGATTATAGAATTTTTTACTTCTATAGTATAGTATGTGCCAGGCACTATGCCAGGTGCTGGGGATATGCAAACAAAAATGACATTGTCTCTGCCCTCAATAAGCTGACATTCATTTGAGAAAAACAACATGACCGTATATAAGTTAATGTTATGTGAAGAGCATTAGTAGCTGAGGAGATCAAGAAAAGATTAAGACAGAAGGTGGAATTTACACTAAATTTTAAAGGAAACAGTGGATTCTGTGAAGTGACAGTGAGGAGTGAGTATATTCCATGCAAAGGGCACAGCCAGTGTAAAAGAAGGGAGATTGGGTCGGGGCAGTTAGGTGGCGCAGTGGATAGAGCACTGGCCCTGGATTCAGAAGGACCTGAGTTCAAATCTGGCCTCAGAAGCATAACACTCACTAGCTCTGTGACCCTGGGCAAGTCACTTAACCCCATTGCCTAGCCAAGAAAAAAAAAAAGAATGGAGATTGGAGTTGGAGCAGGAAGGACATTCTGGCTGGGCCAACAAGTGGATGAAGGTGAGTAATGGAGGAAGGCTGGAGAGGGGAGTTGGAGTCAGCTTATAGGGGGCTTTGAATGTAAGTAAACAGTAGAATTTTCATTTGACCCTAAAGGTAATAGGGAGCCTTTGGAGTTTATTGGGTAGGGGTGTCACATGGTCAGAGGGTCTGTCTTTTTGGAAAATCACTGTAGCCAAAGTGTGGAGGATGGATTGGACGGGTTGAGACTCAAAGCAGGGAGTTTGCTCAGGATACCATTTCAATAGTAAAGGAGAGAAGTAATGAGACCCTGAACAAAGTGGTAGCTGTATGAGTAAAGAGAAGAGGACAGATGTGACAGAGACTGTAGAATCAGAATTGACCTTTATTTGGCAACCAATTGAATCTGTGGAGTGAAGAGAGAATGAAAAGCTGAGGATAACTGAGTTTCAGACCTAGGCAACTGGAAGGATATTGGTGCCCTAGACAGCAGTAGGGACATTTGAAAGAGGGGTGGGTTTCAGGGGAAATATAATAAGTTTCCTTTGATCATGTTGAATTTGAGAAGCCTACTTCCAGTTTGGAATATTCAATAGCTATTTGGTGATGTGGAATAAGAGCTCAAGAGAGAAACTGGGGCTGACATAGTGATCCGGGAGTCATCTGCACAGAGATAATTAAAACCCATGTGACTTGATAAGGTTACCAAGTCTGAGTGTAGGGAGGAAAGGGTCCAGGGCAGAGCTTTGAGATAAATCCACAGAAGAGGGTTTGATATGGCTGATGAATCAGCGAAGCAGGAGAAATGGTCAGACGGGGAGAATCAAGAGAGAGAGAGAGCAGTGCCAAAAAAAAATCTGGAGAAGAGAGCCTATTAGATACCAAGAGTGGTCAGGAAGGATGAGGATGGAGAAAAGACAGTCCTAGTTGGTAATGAAGAGATAATTGGTAACTTTGGTGAGCTAGGTGATATGGTTGATAGAGTTCCAGGCCTGGAGTCAGGAAGACCTGAGTTCAAATCAAGCCTCAGGCACTTGCTAGATGGGTGATCCTGGGTCAGTCACTGTTTGCCTTAGTTTCCTCAACTGTAAAATGAGGATAATAACTACTTACCCTGCAGGATTGTTGTGTAAAGCACTTAGCACAGAGCTTGACATATAGTATATGCTGTATAAATATTTATTCCCTTTCTCTCCAACTTCCTCCCCACTTTTGGTGAGAGCAGTTTCAGTTAAGAATGGAGATTGAAAGCCAGAATGAAGAGGGTTGAGAATTGAGAGAAGAAACAAAGAGTAAAAAAATCATTTATTATAGTATTACCTAATGCCTTCTATTTAATCAAAAAGACAAAAGGGGAACTAAGTTCCAGCCATATCAACATGAAGTTTCTAGGGGATTTTCAAATGTGAAACTTTCTGCTGTTTATAGGGAAATAAAGGAATGAGGACAGTTCTTGAAAACAGAAGAGATTCCAGAATTGGAAAAGCTTGGCACTCTACAGCTTTCATAATGACAGTATCCAAATTTTTTCCTTACTAAAGGTTTTTGAATGTTGAGGAAATTTTTTCCCATGGGGATAGCTCCCTGAATATTTCTTAGAAATTAATGGGAAAATAGCCTTCATCTTACAGAAATTTCTTTTATTAGGGAGGCTAAATGTAGCATCCTGCACTTTAAACTGAGGCTTAAGAAGTATAAAATGAAGGAGGCCTGGTTGGATGACAGCTCCTGTAAAAAAGATGTTGAAGGTTTTAGTGGACTTGCAGCTTATTTCAAGTCCGTAGTGTGACATGGAAGCCAGAAATGTTGATGAGAACTTAAAATGCCTCCTAAAGAAAAGAGACGCCAGTACTATTTATTGTACAACCCTTACCAGACCCCTTCTGAGGGATCATGTTTACTTCCACGTGCCACATTTTAGTAAGGCATCAACCAACCAGGATGCTGTCAAAGAATGGTGGCTAGTATGATGAGAAGACAGGAGACCATAGGATCCAAAGAGCAGTGGGAGGAGCCGGAAGTGTATAGCCTGGAGAAAGGAAGACTCATTGGAATTGGGCTATTAGTCTTCAGGCGATTGAAGTGCTGACATTAAGACACAAGGCAGAGTGAAGAGCAGTGTATGGAAAGTTTCATAGGGGAAGATACAGATTTGATCTAAGGAGAAAGCTTCTAAGAATTAGAGCAGTAGTACAGTGGGTACTAGAAAGTAGTGAGTTCTTCAAACTGGAAGGTCCCAAGTGCTCTCTGACTACTAGACAGACATGTTGCAGAATGGTTTTCTGTTCAGTTACAGGTTACAGAGGGCATCTGAAGTCTTTTCCAATTCTGACATCCTGTAATTCTGTGATCACATCTTTTCCATAAAATGAACGATACCTATAAAAGAGAAACAAAAGAAAATCAGTATTTGAGATTGAATTTTACAAATAATGCAGAAATTGGGGTAGATGCCTATCACAAAATTGTAAAAACTGTATAGTTTAAAGAAACATTTCTACACCTAATGCTTCAAAAATCTATGATTTCATAGTTGTAGGAAATTGTAGCCCATCTATAAGTTGGTAGAAAAGTCTTAGAGAGTTGCCTGATGTTAAGGGTTCACAGGCACACAACTGGTAAGTAACTGCCAGAAATAGGATATGAACTTAGCCCTTGCCAACTTCAAGGACAGCATTCAGTCCACTTAAGCCATACTGCCTTTCAAAATGTCGAAAGGATATGCTTGCAGGAATATTTCTATACATGTTATGAAATAAATATTCTTTTTAAAAACCAAACTTGAATGTAATACCCAGTTGTGTGTATAATCAGACATAAAGATGTGGATAAAAATAACATTTGGTTTTAGCTTTCCATTTATATGTTTTCAAGTTTTACTTCTTCTTTGCTACTTTTTAGTGTGGTGTGTAATTTGGCATTAATTATTGTCAGTTGGGAAGATGGCATCAAGTTAAACTTAAAATTTGGAAGGTGCTCTGGAAAGGTTGTGCTGTTTTGGGAAGCAGATTTTGATGAAACTTGATTATGAACGGTTAGGCAAACTGTACATCAAAGAGAAAATGGTGGTGTCCAAAGAATAAGAATAATTCACTTGGTGGATTTACCCTGGATTCAGATCTTGCAGTAGTGAATTAGGAATCAGAGTGGTAGCCTTTCCAGTTTGAGCCACCCTTCCATCCTTTTCTCTTTTCTCTCAATTACCTCTGCCCCTAAAACTTATTATTTTTTCTATTCCATTTAAACACTTTCTGACCACACGTTCTCCATTCTCACAAATTGAAATAGATTATCAGCTAGCTAGCTTGTGGTATTGTGCAGAGAAATGTGCCTCTCCAGAAGTGCAAAGAAATATCAGTCACATTTTTATTTGAAGATTTGCTAACTAAAAAATAAATGTCATACAGAAAATGAGTGCCACAGTTTACAAAATGCAGTTTTAACATCAGGAGGAATTTGTAAAAGTAGCTAATGTAAAAATGTTTTTCTTATTTTTCAAGGTTTCAAAATATTCTTTACAGAAGAAAGTAAATGAAATGGTAAGGCAATTACAACCCTGTTCATTATTTCTAATGTGGCAATGAGGGACAGCTTAAAATTCCTTTCTATTAGTGTAAAGTTTATGGTTTAATAGTAATAAAGTAGTTGATACTTATAAATTAGTGTCATTTTTAAGGTTGAACTCATTTAAAATATTATTCTCAAAATTACTTTCTAAATTTATTTTGAGATTACTTAACATTTACCTTGTTAAAAATAGATTTTTTAAATAGCTGCCAAATTATTGATAGAAGTAGTAACATTTTAAAAATGACTTCATTTAATGCTATTATTGAGTATATATGCAAATGGAGATCTTAAAAAATGTTACAGCCCTTGATTTTAAAAAAGAACCTTCATTTTGAAATAGTGCTTTAGTTAGATAATATTTTAGCTTTACTGTACCTCAGTGTGAAGCTGCATCTGAAAATCAAAATTAAGAAAAGACTTTCATTATTTATCAAGTGAGGGCTTACTGTGTGCCCAGCATTGTCTTGTATTTAAAAATTAATATTTTAGCATGAAAAAATAAGACTTTGTGGAGTATTCTTGTTCATTCTTCTCTTGTAATTGCCTATAGTAGTGTGCCTTTTGAAAACGTTATTTTTTTCCCTCTAGTACAGTACTCCCTTTCCATTTCCATCTGCACAGGGCTTCTTTGCAGAGGCTTATCTTATCCTAGTCTGATTAGAGAATGTGAGGATAGCAAAATTTGTTATTGAGTTAAATTTAGGTTTGGTATTAGGGAAGGGTGAAACAAGAGAGGATGATTTCTTGTGACATTAAATACAAAGCTGTACAAAGTAACTGTTGTGCCTCTTAGAAACCTATTTTTGCTGTATTAGGAAATAAAAGAGCTGTATAAAGATTGCTAAGCTTGATTGAATAAAAGCTGTGAAAATTCTGCTGCTGTTCAACTGGAAAGAATAAAGATAATATTGTCAGACTATTATAAACGGTGATTTTAATTAAGAAGCCGAAAAACTAGAGTCCGGTTTAGCTTTAAGTACCATGACATTTGTACTGAAAGTCATCCTCAACGCTACAGTGGTTTTACACAAAATATGGTGAAATTGAATAATATGTCCTTTGACCTGGGAGATAAGGCTACAAGTTAAAGATCAAAGGCAACATAAAATGTGTTTTGTCTTATTTCACTTTTAAATTTTATTAAACAAATATATATAATTTAAAGGATGTTGAAACATTAAAAAAAATCTCCATAGGTTTTTGGAATAATAGTTATGGCATAATTGCATCATAGTTTTTATCTAGATAGTAAAGGAATATATAAAATGCTAAGAGCAAATGTTAAATGTATATCTTGTATTTATTTATAGTCACTGAGAACATTTAAGTTTCTTAGGTAATTGTTTAAAAAGTTGGGAATCACTTTTTAGATTGTTCTCATCTTATGTAACTTAAATGATTTTTTTTATCTTTTTTTTTTTTTAGTGATTCTATGATTTCATATGTGTGTGGAGCTCACTCTACTAATAAATATTAGCACCTGTGCTACAATTTATGGTCTTGGGGAGTTGCCTGGAGCTCTAAGAGGTCAAGTGACTTGCCCAATGTCACACAGTCAGTCTGTGTGAGAGGGAGGGCTTGAACCCTCTTTTATCTGTTTGTTATGGCAATCCCAAAATGCTTTACAGAATTAATTCCTATTGTTTGATGCTATGGCAAGCCTAGATGACCAAGACATTAACTGGAAATAAAATGCTTAGCCATGACCAGTAAATCAAATTTTCAGGACACTAGTATATAAAGTATATAATTTGGTGCTCTGAAAGAAGGAATTTTGAAAATAATCCCCTGGAGCTTTTCTCCCTGCCTTTATCCCTATGGGTAAACATTTCAATTCTAGTGAATTTCTGAGTCTTCTGGGAGTACCATTCAACCAAGTGGTGAATAACCAAATAACCTAAAAGAGAATATTGAAACTGCCATAGATAATAAACAACCATTAACCTAAACTGCTCTCCCACAATAAAAATAATTCCTTTTCCTCATGAAAAAAATTCATTACAATCACTATTAAAAAAAATAACTAATGGTAACAAGCTCTAGTGTGACAAAGGAACCACTATTTACAATCAAAGTGATTGGCTAATTAAAGTTACCAAAAGTCTTAAATTTTGATCAGTGATTATTTTGGGGGTGCTAGTTTATTATTAGGTTCTTAATATAGTTTAATAAAGGGAATGAAAACTTATTAAACCACAATTACAGGACCTGAAATCATGGTATTCCAGGATCATTCTAAGGAACTAGGAATATTCAGCCAATATGAGATAATACTTAGGTACAGTGGGCATATTTGAAGGGCTGGCATTTAGAAGATGGATTAGGCTTATTTTGTGTGGCCCCATAAGGCATAATCATGTGAAAATTATGGATCAGCAAATTTTGGAGCACTGCCAACCTTGGAGACAGGAAGACTTGGGTTCAAGTCCTGTCTCTGACAAATACAGGCTATTTGACCATGTTATATTTAACTTCTCTGCCTCTCCATGCATCTCTCTAAGACTGTCCTTTATAGCTCTTGTCATAGAGTGGAAGAGCTCCCTCCTCATTTTCTGTGATTACATGTCAGTTTATCTCTGAAGAAAATGAATGATGTCTGGATTGAGAGGAAACAATAATTTTCCTTAAAATTAATTTAATTAAATTTTAATGTTGAAGCATTCAGTAAAAAGTGAAATAGCCACATACTTTTATATAGTGTTTGTTAAATTAAAAATGTAGACAAATAGCTTTCTTTGTTTTTATAAATAATACTGCTGGCATGTTTATATAATGTTATGCCTTTATGTAACTTTAGGTTGCCATTACAGTTTAGAATTTGCTTGATAATTATGACTCCAAAGGTTAAAGTCTCTTAAAAAAATGGACAAAACATTGTTGTTGTTGTTTTTTAAAACCATGACAGTGAGGATAACCAAAGAAATTTGTACAGCAGCTTGTAAGAGAGGAAGTGAAAGTTCAGGTTTTATTTCTGAATTATTATCTTGGCCTCCAAAATTTGGTGACAATAGAATTCTGTTAAGGGAAATTTTTTTGACCTCTGAATATCTTTGAATCAGGTGAGAAGGTATACAGGTTATATTTTATTCTAACCAGCAGATATACTCCTGAGGATTTGTGTGTAAATGTGATGTTTATAAATCTTTTTGTAAAGTCCTACTCTGATAAGTCATTATTGTGGAGTTGACCCTGGGTTCGCAAAGGCAATGCTAAGGGATCTCCTCCGTTAAGGAGATTTCTTTACATATTCTTCCTGACAACCAGATTAATATGACAACTTGCATTTACGTAAAGCCTTCAAGTTTGTAATGTGCTTTCCTCACAATAACTGTGTAGAGGTTCTACATAATTATACTTAACATAGATATTGTTACCTCCATTTTCAGATGCTCACATAGGTTAAGTTACTCAATCACTATTAAGTTTGGGAGCCAGGATTTGAACCCAGGTCTCCTGCATCCAAATTTAGCTGCTTTCTGTTATACCATGGTGCCTCTCAATGAAATAAATATTTGCTGTGTGTGATATGGGGAATACGACATGAACAAGAGATGATCTGTCTGCTCTCAACTTACAGGCTGGTAGAGAGAGATAAAACAAATAAGTAAGCTAAGTATAAACACAAAGTATAATATAGCAAGTGTTATAAAAGGGGTCCAAAAGTACTATAGGGGTTTAGAGGACGGAGAAGTTGTGTAGTTGACAGGATGCAAAAAGGCTTCCTAAAAGAAAGGCATTTGAACTAGGCCCTGATGAATGGTAGGATTTTGACAGAGGGAGGGTATTATATGTGGTAAGAAGACCATGAGCAAAGGCAGTGAGAGGTAAAGTGGAGGACATGTTCAGGATATGGTGACAAGTCCAGTTTGCATGAAACATAGGGGTATAATGAGAAATAAGGAGAAACAAGGAAAGGGCATGTAAACTGGAGTCAGAGCATGCAGGACCCTGAATGCCAGGCTAAGGAGAATGGACTTTAACTTTGTAGGCAGTGGATAACCTAAACATTTCCATATATAACTGAGAAATCAATAATGTGTGTACTCTGGAATTATTTGTTATAATTGTTTTGAAATGATTCATCTCCCTAATGTTATGTAGTGAAACTGTGTGTTAACATATATTTAGAGTTTAACATTATTATTTGAAACAGGAACAAAAGCTCCAGTTACACCTCTTGGCTAAAGAAGATCATCATAAGCAACTGAATGAAGTAGAGAAATATTATGCTACAATCACATGTCAATTTGGAATGGTAAAAGAAAGTCATGAAAAGTTAGAACAGAATGGTAGGTGCTACACTTAAACATTTTATATATTTATTCAATGAAGAACATTTAAACTGCTTTAAATCAGATGATTAAAATGGGTTTTACTGTAGTTTTCAGTTAAAAAGGCAGTTTTAATGCTTCTCAAATTCTCTCCAGTAAATAATCATGTTATCTTTGGTTTAATTTTTATTTTATCAGGGCAGATGATTGCACAACAATAATGATATAGCATATTTAAAATATAACATTTTTTCTAAATATTTTTATCTGTTTGCAGTACATGAAGCAATACAATTAAACAAGAGACTGTCAGCAGCAAATGAAAAACTAGACTCTGAAGTATGTAGTTTAAAACAGGTATGAGCCATAGAGTTTGCTAGCATTCTATGAGATCATGTTCTAAGGTTGAAAGATAGTGTGGTATGGTGGAGAGAGAGCCAGAAGGCCTGGGTTTAAGTCCCACCCTCTGACACTGAGCAAGTTTTTTCATCTCTCATTTCCCCAGGCAACTTTACTAGACTATCAGCTGCACTGCATTGGTAGAGAGTTTCCTCTCTTGGACTTGTGTATGCCAATGAAATCACAGGTCTGATCTCTCCAAAAGTTTCTTTTAAGATTATTAGTCATGGGAGCAGCTAGGTGGTGCAGTGGATAGAGCTCCAGCCTTGGAGTCAAGAGGACCAGAGTTCAAATCCGGCCTCAGACACTTGACACTTACTAGCTGTGTGACCCTGGGCAAGTCAATTAAAACCTATTGCCTCACCAAAAAGCAAAAACAAAAGCAAAAAAAGATTATTGGTCTTGTAGGATAATGGCTGAAAGTTGTTATGTATTTGGTATTAGGACTATAAAAAAATCTGTTGGTATGGTAATGTGAACTTTAAGTTGTCTAATTTTTCCTAATGGAGCCACATTCTCTTATTCTCATTTTTTGTGACCAGTGGCATGAATTTTGAAGATGGCTTAAAGAGCTAACAGGACCTTTGACATTTGTCTGGTTATTAGTATCTCTAACAAACAAACCAATTAGACATCCACAAATAAAATGGCAACTATCACCTGATTTCACTATAATTCTTAGAGCATCAATTGTATTATGTTATGGTAGAATCATCATTGCAATCCTAGTGGAAAAAAAAACCCCTGGGGCTGAGAGTCAGGAGTCCTGGATTTTGTTTTGACCCTGTCCATACTGGGCCCAGTTTGACCTTAAGGAAGTCTCAGTCCCTCAATGTTATCATCTGTTAAATGGGCACATTATTTTTCTACCTACCTACCTATACATAGGGTCATTGTGATTATGAAATAATAATGTCAGTGTTTTCACTTTTAGTGAAAAAAGAGCTAGACTGGCAGTCTCAGGGAACGCTAGTCTTGTCTCTGTCACTAACCGGTTTTGTGACTTTGGGCCATTTCACATGCTTTAGCTTCAGTTTCCTCTATTAAAAGATGAGGGACTAGATTGGGGACCTTCAGGAGTCTATTAACTTAGATGGGAAAAAAATTACATCTTTATTATCCCTAACCTCTAACAGACATTTAACATGTCCTTCAATTATAAATAAAAAATAATAATCTGAGAAGGGCATCAGATTTCCACAGGGGTCCATGACTTGAGAAAGGTTAAAAATCCTGGAACTAAATTATCTTAGGTCATCATTACTCTAACATTCTATGATTCCAAGTAAAAGCACTTTGAAAATTAAAATAAAATATAAAGTATCATTCTTTTTGCAAACCAGATAGCTCCGTGGTACAGGTGGATAGAATGCCTGACTTGGAGTTAGTGTGAACTGAGTTCAAACCCTGCCTCACATACTGGTTAGCTGTATGGCCTTGGACAAGTCACTTCTTTTAGCCTTAGCTTCTTCAAATGAAAATGGGAGTGCTAATGGCCCCTACCTTACCAGACTGTTGTGAGGATCAAAGTAGATGTTTGTAAAGTTCTTTGCCAGCCTTAAAGCTATGTAATGCTAGCTCTTGTTGGTATTAAGATACAGTCTTGCCAAACAGAGTGTGGAGGTCCTTGAGTCCAGCTAGTATTCAAATAAGAATCTCTGCCATAACATTCAGAAAAATCAAGAAGTGAATCAAGAAGTATTTATTAAGCACTTAATGTATGCTAGGCACTATACTAAGTGCTGAGGATACAAAGGAAAAAGCAAAAACAGTCTCAACCCTTAAAGAGCTTACATTCTAATGGGGGAGACAACGTATGTATACAAAGAAACCTACAATATATATAGAGATGAAGGAAGATAACCTTAGAGATGAAGACATTAGCAGCTAAGGGTTGAACTGAACCTTGAAGGAAGCATGGGAAAAATGGTCATCCAGCTTTTGCATTAAAACCTCAGTCAGTAAACATTTATTAAGCACCTCTTGTGTACCAGGCACTGTGTTAAGCAGTGAGGATACAAAAAGGCAGCAAAGACAGCCCTTGTCTTGAAGGAGCTTACAATCTAATGGGGGAGACAAAAAATAAACAACTATTTAAAAACAAGCTATATGTATACATGGGTAAAATAGGAAAAAATTAAAGGCTTTCTGTAGGAGGTGGGATTTTAGTTGGGATTTTTAAAGCAAGCCAAGGAAACCAGTAGATAGAGATGAGGAGAGAGAGCATTGCAGGCATGAGGGAAATCCAGAGAAAACATCCAGAGCTGAAAGACAGAGTGTCTTGCTTGTGGAATCACCAAGAGACCAGTATCTCTAGATTGAAGTGTACGAGTTGGGGAATGAGGTGTAAATTATGGAGTTATTTGCCATGAATAACGAGCAAGTTTGGCCTTGGAATACAAAATGAAACAGGGCAGAGACTAATAGAGTTTTGTCAAGATAACTTGCGGGTCATAACAGACACTCTTTTTCAACAACCCAAAAGGTGACTGTACACATGGACATCACCAGATAGTCAATATAGAAGTCAGATTGATCATATGCTTTTCAGCCAAAGTTGGAGAAGCTCTATACAGTCCGTTAAAACAAGACCTGGAGCTGACTGTGGCTAACGTCATGAGCTTCATATTGTGAAATTCAGATTTAAATTGACAAAAGTAGGGAAAACCATCGGATGATAAAGGTATGACCTAAATAACATCTCATGAATATGAAGTAGAGGTGATGAATAGATTTAAGGGGTTAGAACTGGAAGACAGAGTGCCAGAAGAACTATGGACAGAGGTTCGCAATATTGTATAGGAGGCAGCAACAGCAAACATTCCAAAGAAAAAGAAAAAGCAAGAAGGCAAAATGGCTGTCTGATGAGGCTTTGCAAATAGCACAGGAAAGAAGGAAAGAGAAAGGTAAAGGAAAAGAGGAAAGATATGCCTAACTGAATGCAGAATTCTGGGGAAGAGCAAGGAGAGATAAGGTTTTCTTAAAAGAGCAATGCAAAGAAATAGAAGAAAACAATAGAATGGGAAAGACAGAAGAGTTAGTTCTTCATGGAAATTAGAGTTATTAAGGGAAAGTTTCATGCAAATATTGGCTTGATAAAAAATAAAAATTGTAGGAATTTAATGGAAGCAGAAGAGATCTAGAAGTGGTGGTAAGGATACACAAAAGAACTATTTAAAAAAGATCTTAACATCACTGATAACCCTGATGGAGTGGTTATTGATCTAGAGCCAGGCATCCTGGAGAATGAAGTCAAGTGGGCCTTAGGGAAGCATTACTAACAATAAGGTTAGTAGAGGTGATGGAATTCCAGGTGAGCTATTTAAAACCCTAAAAGATGATGCTGTTAAAGTGCTGCACTCAGTATGTCAGCAAATGTGGAAAACGCAACCATGGCCACTGGATTGGAAAAGATCAGTTTATGTCGCAATCCTAAAGAAGAGCAATGTCAAGGAATGTTCAGACTACTGAACATTTGTACTCATTTCACATGCCAGTAAGGTTATGCTTAAGATTCTGTAAGCCAGGGTTCAGCACAGTGTGAACCAAGAATTACCAGAAGGCTGGTTTTCAAAGAGGCAGAGGAACCAGAGACTAAATTGCCAACATTTGTGGGATTATGGAAAAAGCAGGGGAGTTCCAGAAGAACATATACTTCTGCTTCATTGACTACATGAAAGCCTTTGACTGTGTGGATCACAACAAAATGCGGCAAGTCCTCAAAGAGATGGGACTAGCAGATCATCTTATTTGTCTCCTGAGGAACTTGTATGCAGGCCAAGAAGCAGCAGTTAGAACTGCACGTGGAACGACTGACTGGTTTAAGATTGGAAAAGAAGTGCAACAAGGCTGTATATAGTCCCCTTATTTATTTAATTTGTATGCAGAGTACATCATGCTAAGTGCCAGGCTGGATAAATCAAAAGCTGGAATTTCAGTTACCAGGAGAAATAGCAACGATCAACAATTGTGATGCTGAAGAAGACTTTTTAGAGTGTCTTGGATAGCAAGGACACTGAGTCAGTCAATATTTAAAGAAGTTAATTCAGACTGTTCACCACAAGGTCAAATGCTTAAGCTGAAGCTTAAATGCTTTGGCCACGTAATGAGAAGACAGGACTCATTGGAAAAGACTGATGTTGGGAAAGATTGAAGGCAAGAGGTAAAGCACATGGTAGAGTATGAGATGTATAGATACTGTCATGGAAGCAATGAATATGAACTCGGACAGAAGGGCCTGGTGCGCTCTGGTCCAGGGGGTAATGAAGAGTTGGACTACTGAACACGACTGAGGGATACGACTGAATGACTGAACAGCAGCACCTCCCTAGGCAGCCCATCCTTCTTTTGGATGGCTCGGATTACTAGGATGTTTTTTGTCCTTTATCAAAAGTAAATTTGTCTGCCCCTGCAACTTCTACCCATTGTTCTCGATCCTGTCCTCTGAGGCCAGGTAGAAGTCTGACTCTTCTTCCACACGACAGTCCTTAAGATGCTTGAAAACAGTGATCATGTTTTCCAGGAGCCTTTTCTTCTTGAGTTTAAATATACCCAGTTCCTTCAGTGATCTGTGTATGGCATGAACTTGAAGGGTTTTGTTTTAGTTTTATAAACAGTTTTTTTTAACATGTGTTTTTAAAACTTTGGGTTACGAACTTGAAGTTCTTGACCATGCCTGTGGCCCTCTTCTGGATGTCTACAGCCTGTCAATGTCCCTTCTAACGAGCACTGTACACATCAGAGGTGGTCTGACCAGGACAGAGTACAGGGAGACTGTCATCCTTTCTCTTCAAAGCTGTGCCTCTCAGTGCAGCCCAAGATCATATTGGCTTTCCTGACTGCTGTTACACTGTTGAATCTTGTCGAGTTTGCAGTCCACCCTGGATTTGTGACCTGAAACTGAGTAGTGAGTGACAAAGCCACCAGTTGGAACCTGTTCCCATCTTCCTCATTCATGC